TAGAAATTATGAATTTAATTAATCTGACAGTTGAACATGATACATATGCTAGATTCAGATTGATAATTCCACCTATAAGAAAGATTTAAATAATACCTTAAGTATATTCTGCTAATTACATTCCTCTAAGTAGACACTTCTACAAATGCAAATGCTCAAAATGGTGAGATTTAAATAATACCTTAAGTATATTCTGCTAATTATTATCATCAAGTAGATAGATATAAAAAGTAGTTAAAACCAAACAAAGCATTCACTCAAACTTGGTTACCGTCATAAATATCTATAGAATGATTTTGTTTATTGGTTTTGATTTTTTGATTCATGATGAAACCCAGATTGCTGAAGCTGTGAAGCATATTACATATATTGTTGCTATTTGACTTTTGGAAATTGGAATATTGCATATGCTAAAATGGACACAGCTACAGGTGCAGTATTATTGTTTTTCTTGTATTGCATTAATACTTTTAATTAAACATATCTATTTGATATGTTTGTAATTTTGGTAGAATATGTTGATAGATATGGATAAATGTGAATAGGGATGGCAAAAAAACCCGACAAACCCGATACCCATGGGGTCCCACCCCATAACCCGTTTAATCGGGTAACGGGGCGGGAACGGGGCGGGGAAGGGTAACGGGGGCCCGCCCCGTTAAAAATTTTATTTATTTATTATTATTATTTTTAGAATTCAATACTTTAAATGAAAATTTTCATTAATTGTAATAGAATATAACAACTAAAATTATTTGTCTAAATCTAATGAATATGGGCAATAAAAATAAATTATCAAAAACTAAAAAAATAAAAATAAATGGGGACTAAACGGGGAAAGGCCATGTCCCTGCCCCACCTTAAACGGGTAACAGGGCCTCGTTGCCATCCCTAAATGTGAAGTACATGGCACGGAAGATCCATCAAATGACACATATTTGCAAGCGGGTGTAAATGTAACTATTGTGGAATAGATTATGCTTGTGGTATCAAGAAGTGTGGTACTAGCACATTGGGCAATCATTTGACAAATAATTGTAAGAAGTATTTAGATAGATTGGTGGATAAGAAGCAAATAATATTTTCTTTTGAGAACAAAAAAGAGGGTGGTGGGAGCAATCTTATTGCTATTGGTCGAAGTAAAGAAGAGTGTAGGGTTGCATGTGCTAAGATGGTAGCAGTGGATGAATTACCTTTTAGGTTTGTTGAAGCTCGTGGTTTCAGGCTCTTTTGTAGTGTAGAATGTCCTCAGTTTCAGGATCCATTTTGGAGGAATTCCGTTCGAGAAATTTATCATTTGCATTTAGATGAAAAATTGAAATTGAGAGATATCTTTTCTTTTCACCGCCAAAGGGTTTCCTTCATAACTGATACTTGGACTTCCATTCAAAATGTTAATTACATGACTCACGACTTCGTAGTTCGTTTCCCTCAGCTCCTATGCGATTTCAATATCAAGCCAAACCTAAAGTTTTTCTATTCTGTCGGACTGGATTTTGTGTAATTAATTGGCCCATTCAACTTCAAGACATGGTTTGGACCTTTTTTTTTAAGGCCCAAACTGCCAAAATAATTTTCTGGGTTGCTGCCTGCTGTTGGCCTTCTTTACCATCATGCCGGTGGCACTGCAAGCGCTGTCGCCCCGCTGAAGCTGAACTGCTACTCCGGCGGACCCAACGAGGGTGGTTGCGGGGGCTGGCCAGGTGCTGGGTCCACCCCCGCCATCCACGAGCCTATGAGACATAAAATACACCTTTGTCCACATACATCATAAAGAATATAGACCAAGGAACTCAAGTATAATTTTGTTGCATTCTCATGTGCCACCATTACCATCAACTAGTAGTTGATTAATGCAATTTAAAATATAACTAAAAGCATGTTACCCATTTTAAAAGTTAATATTTTTTATAAAGAAAGGTAATATTTACTTGTTACTCTTCATGTACTGAACATAGCTCATTCGGTCTTTCACTTACGAACCACACTAAAGATCCCCCATTTTTGACATCAGTATTGCATAAAGGTCTAATACAATTAGCCATCTTCTAACTCATCTGTGTCGGGCATGAGAAAACAAGATTCATAACGTAAAAAGATTTATGTAAGATTTTGATATTGAAACTTAAAAGTGTAGGCTATTTTCTCCCGATTTTACGTATTAGGTCTAGCCGACTCAATTTTTTAAAAATATAGCTTAATTTATTATAATTTTTTAAAGTATTAGGTCAATGGAAAAATGCAAGATGATTTTGAAAAAAATATACATCTTAAAAGAAAAAGAAGAGGAGAACACACATGTACGCATGCACAATAATGATATATACAAAATGCTAGAAATAGTAAAAATTAATTATAATGATATATGCAAAACTGTACTCTGGGACTCGTATGTCAAAAAATCCAAGTAATAAATTTCTATTTTTTAAAGTCATACCATTCGCAATCACATGGCTTACTCGTTCAACCTGCAATGGCATCGAGTTTTCTAGTCCTTAGCCAGCCAAACACACTAGTTTGCAATTGCGGTTAGTGAAAACATTGATTTTAATTAGGGAATGCAGAAGATTGAATAATTAAAGCAAATTTTTTTTATGAGCACCATCCAAACTTTATTTCTTACCAAAACAATGTAACATGTACAAAATCATGAAAGGGCTAACGCACAAAGGGT